AATTTGACCTAGTCCTAGCTCTGGAGCTGGAAGGCACCGCTGAGGCTTTTGGTCCAGTTACAGTTAAGGTCACTGAGACCCTTCTTTGGTGAATTAGAGGCAGGATTCTAACTCAAGTCCAGTATTCATTCCAGTGGACAAAATGAGGCTCCTTTTGCTGGGCTGAAACTCTGCAGTCTGGCCCCTTTCCCTGGGGGCTGGGCACTCCGAAGATCCCTTCAGTCCTGAGTGGGGCTGGTGATTTAGAGCCCTGTAAGCATCAGGCATCGCTATGGGGCCGGGGTCAGGCTGGACGCTTCTCTTTACTCCCCACTTGCATCAGGGAAAGAGAAAACTGCTTCCTTCCCCCTTACACTTTTCTTCCCACGGGGGTGCACTGGGTGATATGACCTTCCCATGCCTCCCTTCACATCGGAGGCTGGTAATCTTGCCCAAACTCAGAGCCATCTTACTGTGGTTACCAACGCAACTGTTTTCTAGCCTAGAATGAAGAGATTCCAAGTCAAGGGGTCATCTCCTTCTCTGATGTTTTAGAAACTTCTAAAAACAATTGATCAAAACCATAACCATGAGGTCTTGTTTTTTGTTTTCTTACCCGAAGTTCCCTAGGTCAAGAAGAAATCCTGACCATCAGGACAGGGTTCTAATGCTCTGGCCTCTTTTTACTTCTTGGCGTTTCTGTTTGCCCCCCATCCCCGACTCAAGGATTAACATACAGATAGGCCTCACAAAGCAGTTATGATTGATCATGGATCATGGTCAAAGGAGAACACTTCCAAAAACACAAATTCCACCGGTCCTAATCAGAATTCCCCTTCATCTGCACCTCTCCAAAACCAAAATCCCAGTGCCCTCCAATTCTTTGCTCAGGATGCTGCCATGTTGCTCAGTCCCTCCCACCAGTCTCTGCCCTCGTCCACTCTTCAGGGAGATAAAGTGTCTCTCTGGATCACAAATCCCAGATTGACCTTCTATATCTGGTTACTGAGCCACAGAAGGTTAAGTCTGGAACAAAACACCCATATGAGAGACTGGGACACTGACATACAAAAAGGGTAGGGGGGATTACTCAAAGACACCAGCCAATATCTTCTTAGAGCAGTTCAAGGTTTTAGAGCTAGGAGGAAATCAGAGTTTTATGTATTTGATTCAACAAATGTTTATTAAATGCTTACTAGCTATGTGACCCTGGACAAGTTACCTGACCTCTCCGTGCCTCAGTTTCCTCATCTGTCAAGTGGGGGTAATAAAAGCACCTACCTGGAAAGGTTGTAGCGAGGATCTAATGAGAATATGTAAAGTGCTTTAGAAATACTAGCTATCATGGCAAATATTATTATGGTGATCCTTGGGCCAGAGAATTATAGGGTTTAGCGCAGAAAAGGATCTTCCATTTTACAAATGAGGAAACTGAGGACCAGGAGACTAAATGATTCACCCAGGGTCTCCCAGGGAGTGTCAGGTCATCACAGGGTTGTAGAATCAGAGTTGGAAAGGACCTTATAAAATATAGATCGTCGAATCCAACTCTCATTTTATGGACAAAGAAATAAAGATTTTTATTTTAGCCAATCAAAAAGCATTTATTAAGCACCTACTATAGGCCAGGCTCTGTGGGTATGGATGGGCACTGGGGACTCAGATACAAAAGCAAGAAATCCCCTGCCCTCCAAGACTTCACCTCCAACTTAACCAAGTCCACACAGTATAAAGTAAGAGAGCTGGGATTCGAACTCAGGTCTTGTGCCTCCCGATCCCCATGTTCTTTTCACTACTGCTCATCGCTGAGGGATTCATTGAATCAGATATTGAATTAAATATGTGAATAAACTGAGCCCCAACCTTTCCCACTTACACACACACACACACACACACACACAGACACACACACACACACACACACACACACACACACACACACACACAACGGCGCTCAGTGTTGTTTGGGGCTCGTGCTGTTTTGTCAAGCTGTCCTGTTGCTGACAAGCCAGAATAGAAGAGCAGGGCAGGTTTGAGGGCTGGCGTCTGTGGCGAGGGATGGAGCCAAGGAGTCTGGGCAGCTCACTTCCCAGCTTTACCATCCCCTTAGCTGTCGCTGTGCAGAGAGCAGCACATGACTTTCTTTTCTGCTGCGGTCTGATGGGCCCCCAAGGACCCCTCTGTCCAGGGAGGAGGAGCCTCGGTTACTGAGTCACTGACCGTTGTAGATGCGTCCAAGGGAAACTTCTCAGTCTGGGCGGATTATAAGGATGTGACAAACATTTGTTCAACAAATGTCTATTATAATGACCCTCCTAGTTCAAGGCTAAAATGAGAGATATAGATGGTCCTCCTGGTGAGTCTGTAGAGGGAAGGACCGCAGAGATCAGCTGCTCTAGCCTCCTCGTTTAACAGATGGGTAAATTGAGGCTGGAGTGGGGGCAGAGAGTGACTTACCCACTCTCATGGAATCGTTAGATAGCAGATGAAAGCCAGAGTAGACCCCAGAAGCCACCTGGACTAACCCCCTCACTTTTTTCAGGTCTGGCCTAATTCATTCCCCCAGGCTTGTATTAATAATATGTGTAGCCAAACATTGAATGTGTTAGCTGTGTGATCCCTGGGCAAGTCACTTAACCCCTTTGGGCCTCAGTTTGCCCATCTGTAAAATGAGGGAGTTAGATCTGATGACTTGGAAGGGCCCTTCCAGCCCTAAACTTAGCTTTCCCATGACTGTTTGTTCCCAGATTAAGCTCTGATGCTGGCTCCTACGTGAGACCTTACCTGCTCACCCAGCTGCCAGTACCCTCCCCCTGGCACCCCAGTTATTTTGCATTTTTTAGAGTTTACATATATGATCGTGATAATAATAGCTAATATTTCTATGGTGCCAATTATGTACCAAGCGCTGTGTTGAGAGCTTTTGCAAACATTGTCTAACTTAATCCTCAAAATAACCCTGGGAGGGGCAGCACTGGCCCTGAACTCAGGAGGACCTGAGTTCAAATCCAGCCTCAGACCAAACACTTGACACTTACTAGCTGTGTGACCTTGGGCAAGTCACTTAACACCAATTGCCTAAAAAAAAAAAAACTAACCCTGGGAGGCAACTGCTATTAATATCCTCATTTTACAGATGAAGAAACTGAGGTTAAATCACTTGTCCAGGGTCACACAGCTAGTAAGTGTCTGAGCATGGATTTGAATTAAGGTCTTCTAATGTGGGCACTTGTTGCTTCCCCCAATAGAATGTAAGATAATTGAGGGCAGGGACTGTTGTGGGGTTTGGGGCTTTGTATTTTCTTTATTCCTTCCTTCCTTCCTTCCTTCCTTCCTTCCTTCCTTCCTTCCTTCTTTCCCTCCTTCCTTCCTTTCTTATCTATAACGTTGGGGGGTTGGAAGAAGACTTAATTGGAATTCAAAGGACCTGTGTTCAAATTCTGACTCTGCCCCTTACTGCCTGGATGACCTTTAACAAGTCACTGATCCTTTTCTGACTCTCAGTTTCTTCGTCTACAAACTAGGGGCTTGGCCTTGCTGATTGCTAAAGTCCTTTCCATCACTAGGTCTATGAACGTTGATATTTTGGCCTACTGTGTGCCAAGGACTGTGCTAGGTCATGTGAAGAATTCAAGGGAAGCAGATGTCTCCAGCCTGTGGAAGGTGTAGACTTCTTGATTCACCACCACATAAATCAATGCAGTATTACAACATTTACCCGACATTTCTTAAAGGCCTGCTATGTGCAAAGCCATCCCTGATTCCCTTTGGACCTAAGATAGGTATTTGTTTGGCCCCTCCCTGATGTTTTTATGATGTAATATTGTTTATTACAGCTACCTAAGTTTGAATTTGACCCTCTTACTAGACTGTAAGTTCTGTGACACCAGGAACTGTCTTATCTAAAACTTTGTAGAGTATAGAATGTCAGAGCTGGGAGGGGCCTTAGAACAGGGAACATCAGAGCTGGGAGAAGCCCTGGAGTGTAGAACGTTCCATAAGGACCCTAGAGATGATCTCGTCAGACCCTTTTATTCCATGGGGGAGAGCCCTAAGCCCAGTGCAGGGCCTGACTTGCCCAGGGTCACACAATGACCTTGCGCCAAAACCTCATTCCTTTTCTATTTATCTTGCATAAATAACTGTTTCCAAGTCTTGGTTAAGGCCTGGAGGTAAAATTCTAGGCCCCTGACCAGACCTCTCGGAGAAAGGAGGCAGTGGCCGATGTATTGGCCTTGTCAGTCACTCACTTACCCTGTTGCTCCCCAAACTTCTCTTCTCTAAATATCCCCATTTAGGACAGGATGAGAACGGGGGCTTGAAAGCAGTAGTAGAAAGTAGTAGGTGGGAGAGATAAAGAAGGCAGTGAGGAGGATCGAGGTTCAAATCCTTTCTCTGCCACTTATTATCTATATGATTGTGGGCAAGTCCCTGAAACACTCTGGGCCTCAGTTTCCCCATATGTAAAATGAGGATGGAAGGGATAGATGATCTCCGAGGAGGTCCCTTCTGGCACCAGGTTTATGGTCTTGTGATCCTAAAGCCTGAGAGAAGTTGACTGCTGTGGGAACGGAGGGGATGAGACCGATGTGGGAAACACCCTAGCCTCTGTTGCCCTCGATGGCCGATTGGACGAGGAGGGTGGTGGAGAAGGAAGCTGAGGTTTGGGGTCTAGGAACCTAGGAGGATGGTGGTATCATCAACATGGGAGGACGGGAAGGTAATGAGCTCAATTTTGGGTACACGGAATTTGAGGTGGCGATGGGCCGTACAACTGGAGATTAAAGCCGACGTTTGCACGGCGCTCTCGTGTTTACAAAGTGCACGCTTCGGGCACTATCTGTGCCTGTGAAATACCCCATCAACCTGTCCACCAGCGTTGACGAAGCACCTGCTCCATGCCAGACCCTGTGCTAAATGTTCTAGGTACAAAGAAAGGCACGAATGGCCCGTGCTCCCATTCTAAGGGGGTAGTAAAGGTATTCTTATCCCCGTTTTACAGCTGAGGAAGATGAGGCTCACAAAGGTGAAGTGACTTGCCCAGGATCCCACAGCTAGTAAGCGTTGGGAGAAAGATTTGAACACAGGTCTTCCAGACCCCAGGGTCAGTGTCTTCTCCATAATGCCACTTGTCAGGGACCGGTTCCAGGTAACGATCCGTGTGTCCTAGAGCCACACGATATATGAATGTCTTTTCTCCCCTGTGATCCTACGAGGCAGGTGGCCAAGGGTTCTGCAGCCCTCCATTCATGCCCACGTCCTGGACAAGGAAACCGATGCCCAGGGAGACGAAGATCAACCGGCTTACTCCGCAGCTAGTTGGCGGTGGTCAAGGCCGGGCTAGAGCCCAGGGCTTTGCTTGTGTTCCTGATGTTCCCTCAGGCCCAGAGCATCCTAGAGACAGAGCCGGGAGGGGCCTCACAGACTGTTTAGTCCAATCCTCTCATTTTACAAAGGAGGAAACTGAGGCCTGAGGAGGGACGTGACCTCACCAAGGTCACACAGGTAGTAAGCCCCAGAAACAGGATCCCAGATGCTCTGGATTCTGAGTTTTCACTTTCTGGGTTCGGGCATATTGATTGAGCACCCAGATACCCTGTGTCCTTAGATCCTGGCCCCCAGATTCATAGGGTCAGCTGGAAAGCAGCAGGAGTGCTGTGATGAGGCTCTCTCCCCATCCCAGCCACAGGACATATTACGTCCTCTCTCCCAGCCTCATCTGTAAAAAAAAGGGCTGAATCTGTGATCCCAGGCGACTTGTCTCTGGGCCTCAGTTTCCTCAGCTGTAAAGTGAAGGGGCTGCCTCCAAAGGTCCTATCTAACTCTAACTTTATGATCCCAAGTCATTTCCCTCCATGCCTCAGTTTCCTCATCATTAGAGCGAAGTGGTTGGCCCAGAACGCCCCCGTGGACCCCTCGTCTGTGAAGGTGTGCTCATGTGACTTTTGACCCAGCCCTTGGCAGGTAGCTAGACTGACACATGGCCCAGCCTCCCAGGAAGCTGGAATTTGACCCTTCCCCAAGGCACGTGCACCATAAAGCAAACTTCTAGGGGAGTCGGGTACTTCGAAGTTAAGACAACACTGTTTATTGAAAGCATTGACAGTGGAACCGTGTTATTCAAACACACACACGCGTAGACACACATACAAACACACCCCCAACAAAATGAGGCAAAACCCCTCCCCTGACCCTGGGGAAAACAAAATAAAACAAAACAAAACCCAAACATTGTGAAAACGGGACCAAACAAAATCTCACAGAAAACTGGCTGCTAACAAGACACAACATTCTGAAATGCAGAAGCATAAACCGGTCTAGAGGACAAAGGGGAAGTGACCGCTCCTGGGTCCAACGGGGAAGCACGGGGAGCCCAGGAGCCGGGTTCAGGAGGTCATTTTTCAGGGATACAAGTTCGGTCTCTCTGGGAAGTTCTTGGTAGGAGCTGGGAGAGAGTGCTACATTTGTGGGCGGCCCCTGAGGACCCCCTGAAGAGTGCAAGTCCCTCAGGCCAGGGTGCTTTGGGTCAGTGTGGGGCTCTCCTCCATCTTTTCCACTGAAGGGGAGCCTGACCCACAAAGGCCTGAGTGAATTGTCGTGGACTGGAAGCAGTCTGCAGGCTCGGTAGGGAGGCCATGGTAGCTCGCCCCGAAGTGTCTTTTCTGTTTCCTTCACATGGCATAGAACCCCACAGCGACAGTGGCGACGATGGAGAGGGTGAGGATCCAACGGAGGAGGGGCGAGTGGGAGAGGAGACTTTGTTGGGGCTTCTGGGCAGGAGTCTCTGTGAAAGTCCAGCCTACGAGAGAAAAATCTTATAATGAGCACATCATCGAATCCAACATGGTGCCCAACCAAGCACCCACTTCTACTTGAAGGCCCCCAGTGACGGGAACCCATTATTCCTCAGGGCATTGATTCAACTCCTAGACAACTCTGTTAGAAATATTTTCTGGGTGGCGCAGTGGATAGAACACCGGCCCTGGATTCAGGAGGACCTGAGTTCAAATCCCGCCTCAGACACATAACACTTACTAGCTGTGTGACCCTGGACAAGTCACTTAAAAAAAAGAAATATTTTCTGATACGAGGTCTATATCTGCCCCTCTAGAACACTGAGAGCTAGGGCCTTTTTCACCTGGGGTCAGTCCATTATTCAACCCATCAATCAATATTTCTTAAGTGCCTACTATGTGCCAGGCACTATAGATATGAGAAAGACAGTCCCATACCATCACATACAAACATATACAAAGCAAGCTATACACAGGTTAAATAGGAAGTAATTAACAGAGGGAAGGCACTAGAATTAAGAGGGTTCAAGGGTCCAGGTTCATAAAACATTTTGATAAGTATGTTTCAATAAAATTGATTTCCTTTGTTATCAGTCTGTCAGGAAGTATTTATTAAGCACCTACTGTGTGCCAAACACATAGTACTCTTCTGTGTTTTATTTTATGCATCTAAATACATTGTTCTCAGAGGGGGTCTATAGCCTTCACTAGGCTAACCGGCAAAGGGGTCCAGGACACAAGAGATTAAGAAGCCTGGGCTAGGACATCCCTCCTCTGATACGACCTATGTGACCCTGGGCAAGTCACTTAATATCCTTAAGCCTCCATTTCTTCATCTGTGAAATGAAAGTGATTGGACTGGACGCCCTCTGAGGTCTCTTCAACTCTAGGACTGGTATGCTGTCCCTTTACAGATGAGGAAACTGAGGCATAAAGAGATGGAAATGACTTGCCCAAGGTCACCTAGGTTTTTAAAACAGCAGAGCTGAAATCTGAATTCAGGTCTTCTTTTGCCTCAAAATCCAGTATTTTATTTAAACCATTACACCCCACCCACTGCTGGGGTTTGACGGTGATATCTTGGAAGCACAGCCTGGAATCTTCAAGCCCAGACCTGACGTTGTTTCTCAGAAGGAGGCTCACCAAATGTGTATGTCTTAGCTACATCTTCTCATACCATTCCTCCCTCCTCTTCTACCTGTAGCCCTCTCCGTCTGGTTGGCCTTGACATGCCAAAGAGTTCCCTCTCAAGGAAATGGGAGTAAAATGGGGGGGAGCTTTGGGCTCAGGTCAAAAGACCTGGGTTCAGATCCTGATCTTGCCACTTTCTGGCAGTGAGATTTGGGGCCATCATTTCAACCTCTGTGCCTCAGTTTCCCTCTCTGTTAAACAGGGATAATCGTATTCAGGACACCTGTGTCATAGGGTTGTTTTGGAGAGAGCACCTCAAGTCCAATGTCTTAGCATTCTGTAGATGTGAAATTCTGTGGGCACAGAGTTCTAGGGGAAAGGCTCACATTATAGGAAGGAGACAGGAGCTCATTAAGTAGACGGTAGCGCCATAGTGGATAGAACACCGGGCCTGGAGTCAGAAGGAGCCGAGTTCAAATCTGACCTCAGATTGTATGACCCTGGGCAAGTCACCTAACCCTGTTTGCCTCAGTTTCCTCCTCTGTAAAATCAAGGGGCTTAGCTTGGATGGCCTCCGAGGTCTCTCCCAGCAATATATCCTAAGGTAGAGCAATGTAGGAGTGCTAGGAAGAGCTATGGTTCGGGAGTCAGAAGCTCTGAGTTCAAATCAACCACCACGAGCCACATGACCGTGGGCAAATCAGACTTCTAGATTAGCAGAGGGAAGGCACTAGAATTAAGAGGGTCCAAGGGTCCACGAACCTGGGTTCTCTAGATAAGGGGTGGGGAGCCTGTAGCCTCAAGGCCACAGGCGGCTCTCTAGATCTTCCAGTGAGGCCTTCTGAATCCAAACTTCACTCAACAAATCCCCTTCATAAAAGGATTTGTTCTGTCAAACTCAGACTCAGTGAAAAGGCCGCACCCAAGGGCCTAGAAGGCCAAAGGTTCCCCACCCCTCCCTAGAGCCTCACCTTCCAAGTTTCTCCCCACTTTGTTTGCTCATTGCTTGCCTCGGTGCCTGGCACACAGTAGGAGCTTAATAAATGCTGGCTGGACTGGTTTGTCTAGGCAGAGAACAGGCGGGTTCTCTTAGATGGTCTTTCCAGATGGATGGGCTCCTTGTTCCCTAAAGGTTCAGAAGTCCTTTGGCCTCTGTCCTGGGAATCAGGACTGCACTACCCTGGGGGAATTGGGGAGCAGGTGCAGGAGGGTTGATCCACATTCCTCGGTCCGGCACACAGTCAGTCCACAAGCATTTATTAAATGTTCACTTTGTGTGAGGCACAGAGAACACGAACAAAGGTAAAGACATCTTGAAGGCCCTCACCTTCCGAAGAGAATTGGAGGAAGGTCCTCTGAGAGAGGAGCCCAAGTCATTTTATAGATGGGGAAACTGAGGCCCAGGGAGTGCACAGGAGCATAGCTTTAGAGCTGGAAGGGTCCTCAGAGGCCATCAACTCATTTTACAGAGGGGGAAACTGAGGCCCAGGGAAATTAAAGGACAATCACACAGGTAGGTAAATCTCATAGGTAGGATTTGAACCCAGGTCCTTTGGATCTAGAGTCTGGGCTCCACCACACTGTCTCCAGTACATGGCTTTTTTTCTAACTAGTATACTGTTTCTCTCAAGTGACAACTGTCTACCCAGGGAAGGGTAGCTCTGAAGGGGGGCAGGACCAGCGAGTGCTCTGGGGCTCGTCGGGGCTGTGCCCCGCGGGAAGGACCTTCCCTCGATGACGAAGCCTTCTGACGCCTCCCCAGCCACCGTTTCTTCCTCTGGGCCCTGGAGTCCCCCCTGGTGGCAGTCCCCAAAGCCTGTGTGGCTGACGTCACATCACCTCCTAGACCACACAATGCACAGCCAGCTGTGGGAAGCCACGCAAACAGGAGCTGCCCAAATGTTTGCTAATTGGGCAGGACAGTGAGTCACAGTCAGAGGAAGAGGAGGACGGGAAGGGAAAAAACATGTGGCCCCAGGAGCGAGCAAAAAAATTTATTAAGCTCACAAAAGACAGAGTCAGTGATGCCACTGGGAAGCTGGGGGCACAGGGAGATCACAGGATTGACAAACGGAAAGGATTTGGAAGGCAGATACCGGCTAATTCACTTGATAGACCAGAGAACCAAGAGATTTCTTGGGGGGATTTGTCTAAGGCAGCGGTGGGAAACCTGCAGCCTCTAGGTCCTCAAGTGCGGTCCTTTGACCGAATCCAGACTTCACAGAACAAATCCCCTTTGCAAAAGGATTTGTTCTGTCAAATCTGGACTCAGTCAAAAGGCCACACCCGAGGACCTGGAAGGCAAGTTCCCCACCCCTGATAACCTCTGAGGCAAGTAGTAAGGCACCAAGAGGTTCACACAGAAAAGAAATGGCAGATAGGTACAGACATTTCTGACTCTCATTTGAGTGTAAGCCCCTTGAGGGCAGGGATTCTTTTGACTCTTTTTTAGGATCTCCACTGCTTAACACCGGCAATCATTGATTGATCAATCGATTATTGATTGGCTTTCAGTCCAGGACTGGCGTTAAGTTGTTAAAATGGGAAATCTCAGGCACAGGAACACAAAGGATAACTGATGTGCATGAGCTCTCTGCTCTTTGAGGACAGGGGTCCCCTGGCTCACTCGTCACTGTATCCCCAGCTCCAGTGCCTGAGCTTTTCATCAAGTAGATGTTAAGGAAATCTCAGGTGCTCGGGGCTAGAAGGATCCCCTCAAAGGCACCCCCCCATCTGAGCAGAAATCCTCTGGACAATATCCCTAAGGGGTGGTCCTCCAGCCTCGGTGTAAGGGGAAACCCCAAATTCTCAAGGCAGCCCATTCTACCGCGGAATAGCTCAAACTGTTAAAATAATAACAATGAGAATGACAGCATTCAGATAGCACTTTAAAGCTTGGGAAGTGCTTTACAGATATTTGATCCTCACAACAATCCTACAGGATCGGTAGTGTTATTATTCTCATTGAACAGATGAGGAAACTGAGGCAAACAGGGTTAAGTGACTTGCCCAGGGTCACACAGCTGGTAAGAATCTGAGGCTAGACTTGAACTCAGGTCTTCCTGACTCCAGGTCCAGTGCTCTGTCTGCTGAGCCACCTTTGGAAATTTTGCCTTATCTGAAGCAGAAATCTACCTCCCTGTAAGTTCTCCCCGTTGCTTCCAGGTCCATCCTGAGGCCAAGTCGATCAAGTGTAACATTTGGGGAACAGATGACTGCATAACTTAATGAGAGAGGGAGAAGGGAATATCGGTTCTTACTGAGCTGGCAACCTGAGCTACCCATTAACCAGCTCCGCATAGGAAGCTTGGTGGATAGTGGGCAAACTGGCTAGAGAAAAATGCCAATCTTCAAGGTCTCACCTTGTCCTTTGTCACCGGCCCTTTTTCGAAGCTCCTGCTTCCCCGAAACGTTCCCATTCTCCTGGTTTTTGGGTAACAACTCCTGCAGCTCCTCAAACATCTAAGGACCAAAGAGCACATGCCACTAGATCAGAAGGTGCTCAAACAAGATGGCACCATGAGCCACAGGGGCAGACCAGCCCTCTGGGCTCTCACCCCCACCTGGGCTTTCTTAGCCCCATCTCACATCTTCCATTCTTAGAAACCACCCTCCTCCCCTCCATCTTGCCTCTGGTCCTCTTTCTCTGGGAATGAATCTAACGTAGGAGTGAAGACCCTGGCACCAGTCATCCCTTCCTTTGGGGTTGAGGCTCTTTCCCACCAAGGGAAGAGAGGATAAAGACCAGGGTGGGGATATAGTGAGAACTTCCATTCAAAACTTTTTTATTTTTAAGAGTGAGGAAGCCTTCCCATGGCCAATTTATGGGTGGATCTGGGTGAGAGCCATATGAGATGGATGGGTCACCATCTGCATCAGGGGAGGGAATGCCTACGCTAGTGAGATCAGAGCCATTGTAATATTGTCTAGAGACAAGAAGACTTAGAATGTCTATTCTTGGAAGGGCCTTTGGAAGCTGAATCTGAGCTGGCACTCGGCCTGTGCTTCACCTCCCATTCAGTGGTACAGGCATCCACCTGCACCATCTTGCCATACACCCATCTCCCTACCCAGGTAGCTCTTTCTGCACCAGGCCTTCAGAATCCATGCCTATAGTCCCTAGGAATGTTAATCCACATTTTTGGAAGACCCTGCCTTGATTGGTGAGTTAAGTCAAAAGCATTTATTAAGCACCTACTGGTTGACAAGTACTATGACTTCGCGTGAATGACTGCAAGTTCACTTCACCCACCCTTACTTAGCAAACTCCAACCCAGACATACGTGCTGTCCTGGCTCACCTGGATGTTCAGGAGGAAGGACGTCTGTGCCTCCTCCACCACCTTCTTCTTGGTGGCTGGGCTCATCTCAATGGCGTTCATTCGGGAACGGTAAAGCTGCTTGAATTTGGTGGCGCTGGCAATGGCCGGGAAACTGAAGAAGGCCACCCCTTCCCCTGTGCTGGGGAGCCCCAGAGACTTCTGGGCAATCTTCTTAAGGATCTGACCCCCAGAGAGGTCCCCCAGGTAACGTGTGTAGGCGTGGGCCACCAGCAGCTCGGGCTCAGTGCGGCCCAGGTCACGAAGCCGATTCACGTACTTCTCTGTGGCTGCCGTGTAAGGGATCTCTTTTCTCCACTGGCGGCCGTACCAGAACTCCATGTCCTGCTCCAGGGCAGGCGTGCGGTTCAACTCTTCAGGGAAGTAGACGGGGGCGAGGGCAGGGTGGGTCTTGTTCTGCTCCAGCTCATCTTCCAAGGCCAAGTAGATGTGATACAGAGAAGACATCACCATCTGAAACCAAGCAGTTAATCGTTACACGTGGCTGAGCTGGTCAACGGAGGAGGAGGGCCAATCAACCAGTCAGTCAACATTCATTAAGTGCCTATTATGTGCTGAGCACTGGGGATATGAGAGAAGGCTCCTCAAGGAGCTTACGCTGTAACAGAAGAGACAGATACAAAGCAATCTACAGACAGGATAAACAGGAAATAGAAAACATGAGAATTAAGAAGAGTTCGGGAAGGATTCCAGTCAAAGAAGGGTCCCCACAGCAGACTAGGTCAACAGGTTTCTGAGCTCCACTTCTGTGGCCTTCCCTGTGCCAGGCACTGTAGGAAGAGACCAGAGGGATATAAGACACAGTGCCTGCCTGCAAGGAGCTTACATTCCAGGTAAGGAGATAGCAACAAGTGTCCTGGCCTAATGGAAGTACCATAACATTTGGAGTCAGGAATTGGGTTCTGATCTTGTCTGTGCAACTGTGAATGAGTCACTTAACCTTTCTGAAAAAAGGCCCAGGTCAGGGGCAGCTAGGTAGCGCAGTGGATAGAGCGCCAGCCCTGAAGTCAGGAGGACCTGAGTTCAAATCTGGCCTCAGACCAAACACTTGACACTTACTAGGGGTGTGACCTTGGGCAAGTCACTTAACCCCAATTGCCTTAAAAAAAAAAAAAAAGGCCCAGGTCGGAGAGATCAAGCCCTAAAAGCATTCTGGAGTTGAAGTCAAGAGTTCTCTGCCATTTACTAGGCTGTAGGACCTTGAAGAAGACCACGCTTATTTCTCTAGGCCTCAGTTTCCTCATCTGTAAAAAGAGGAGATGGCCTCTAAGGTCCCTTCCAGGCAGAGTGGATAGAGAACTAACCTCAGAGTCAGTCAGGACAGCCCAGGTCCCAGGTCTGCCTCTGATACGGATTCGATATTCAGTTCTCCCCATGACCTTTTGCTCCTCCGGGCCTCGGTTTCCTGCTTTGTAAAATGAATGGATCGAACTACATTCCTCTAAGGCCCCTTCTAGTTCTACTCTACATTTGTCTTTGGGGTTGGAGGGGCAGAAGAGAGAAAAAGTTTTGCAATGTATTTGGGGGAGAGAGGAAAGAAAGGACATTGTGAGTGAAAATGAGGACTTGGGAATAAGTATGGTAAGAGGGAAGGCTGCAGATGTAGGGTGGGACCACGTGTCAGAAGAATTGGATGAATTTGGAGAACCCCAGACTCTGCCTGGGTAGGGATCCCCTATTCACCATCCTTTGCTTGAAGACTTCAAGGGATGGGCAACTTATTGCCTGTCAAGGCAGCCCACTCAATATTGGTGCAGGGCTGATTAGCAAGTTTTTCCTTATAACCAGTAAAAACCTCTCCAGCTTCTGCCCATGGCTCCTAATTCTGCCCTCAGGGCCCACATAAACCAGCTGCAAATTCCTGAACAAGAGTAAGTACAGTTTACCCAATTATTTCATGCTCTCGTTTTCTTCGCCTGGAGAATTACAGTGGCTGATTTTTACGTAGCCCTTTGTACAAGGTGACTTCACTCCTATCTGATTCGCTAACTAAGCTAGGAGTTAGGTGGTGCAGATGCTGTACCCATTTTACAAATGAGGTAAACTGAGGTGCTGAGAGGAAATTGACTTTCCCATGATTATACATCGAAGAGGCAGAGCCCAAACTTGAACCCCAGGCTCTTTCTACATCACTGTCAAGGTCAGTGACTTATTGACCAGTGCCCTGCTTTTTTTCCCTCCTTTGGTCCCCACTCTGGATGGCTCCCCTGGTTTCTGGAATGTCCCAAGGGTGGACAGGGGGAAGTTTGGCTTGGTAGGTGATCTGGTTTTATTAATGGAAGTGACAGGCAAGAAGATGCATTACCTTGTCGCTGTCCCCTAAGGACCACGGCTGCCTTCCGTCTGCCTCGAAGCTCTGCCACCCCACCCCAAGCGTCCTTCCATTGCCCCACTCCCCAACAGAATGCTGGGACTGCCTGACTTTGTATGCTGAGGCTCAGCAAGCTGCTTGGCACATAGCACAGACTTAATAATAATTGATTTTGTATTCAACTAATCATCCGTCATTCATTAACTCCAGTCATCTGTTAGCCACATGGTTGAAAAGTCAAGAGCGGAACAAAGTCGAAGCTAATGACCGAGGAGTCAGTATTTCTGTAAATACCAAGGAGGCAGCCTGCATGATAGAAAGCTGGACTCGAGATTCAGGAAAAGCAGGGTTCATATCTCCCCCCCATGCTTATGTGACCCTGCACAATATACTCTCACAGAGTTTCAGTTTCCTTATTAAGAAAATGGAGATGAGAATAACCAAGAGTACCTTGATTCACCAAGATTTTTGGTAAAGCTCAGATAACAGCCATTCAATCAATAAGCACTTATTAAGTGCCTATTGTATGCAAAGTTCTGTCATACACATTTTAGGTAAGACAAGGTTCCAGTCCTTATAGTACTTGCCCCTCTCTGTATGTATAAAAATGAGGGAGTGGACAAGAGGTCTTCTAAGGTTTTGTCCAGCTTTGAAGTCTGCTTTGCCATGGACTACCTGTGTGACTGTGGACAGGTCACTTAAACTCTGAGCCTCAGTTTCCTCATCTGTAAAATGAGGGGATTTCACCAGATGATCTCTAGGATGCCTCCCAGCTTTAAATCTTATGAATCTACTTCTAATGCCTCTTTCAACTGTTCCACTGTATTATTCTGTGAAATTTCCAGGGGAGTTAAAAAAGGAAAAAACAACAAAGCAATGTACTTAGAGCCATCCCATTTGGTATGGGACAGTGGCCCTTTGACCCCAGACTGAATTCAATGATGGAGGCAAAGTCCAAGCTGCTGGGGCCATCCATTCCAGCATAACTTAGCTGGATAGAACAATTCCCTTTGGGCAAATACAAGCCTAGACAGATGGTTGGGTCCGGGCTAATTCTCTCTTCCCTGCCTAATGCAGGTAAGTCTATAATTCAAGCCAATAGCATTTATTAAGCGCTTTCTATATGTCAGGCACTGTTCTGGGAATACAAATACAGGCCCTCTTTCCAGAGTGGCAGAACCTCTCATGGGCAGCATAAGGAGGTAACTAGGTACTTGGCAGCTCAGTGATGGGGAGAGATAGGTGGTCTAGAGCTAGGGAGTGGGATAGGGTCTCACCTCATTAGGGCACTAAGTAATCAGGGGACCTTGGGTAAGTGCCTTCCACCCTCTTGGGCCTTGGTTTACACATCTTTAAATCAAGGTGGGGCTGGGTGGGACCAGGGGATTTAAAGCCCCTTTTGGAACCTAAAATTCGGTCAAATGACTTAGTCCCCAGCCTAGACTTTCTTGAGTTTTCTGGAGAACCTAACATGAGTTAATTAATCATCATGGTTTCATGCATAGCCCGTTAGCATTTCAGGAGTGCTCTAAGGCTTACTAATTATTATTGCTAAACATTTACATAGCCCTCTAATGCAAAACAACCCTATAGGGCAGGTGCTGTGATATACCCATTCTGCAGATGAAATAACTTGAAGGTCAGAGAGGATGAGTGTTAGGGTTAGAGCCAGCATGAATTTAGGGTTCAGGTTAGAGCAAGCCGGTGGCTGAGGCAGGTTGGGACTCCTGCCCCCGGGTCTAGCCTTCTCATCATTACATCACTCATTGAGCTGCCTCATCTGTGTATCACAGTTCAGTTTACAAGGCATTTTTCTCACCTCTGTGAGGGTGGAAATATTACTGCTCTTTTAACTGAGGCTCAGAGCGATTAAGGGAGTAACTCAGGTAGTAAATAACAGAGCCTTCTTTTCATAATAATTAATAATAATGGCAAATGGAACTTGCATTTATATGGGCTCTAAAGTTTCAAAAGCAGAGGGTCATTGTTATGGAGCTGGAAGGACCTTGGAGGTCAGCTAATCCAACTCCCACATTTTACAGCCAGGGAAACTGAGAACCAAGGAGGCAAACTGACTTCCGAGTCACATGGAGATGGTTGTACCCCCAGTGCCTAGCGCAGTGCCTGGCATATAGTAGGTATTCAAGAAAATGTTTGTGGAATAAAGTGTCAGAGTTGGCATTTGAACCCAGGGCCTTTCCCCTAGTCTCTGACCAAGAGGCAGTCTTTCTCCTCGCCAATGCCAGCTCCTCTACATGGACCCTTGACCTCATCCCCCTCCCATCTCTTCCAACAGGTTTCATCTTTACTCATCACCCCTGTTTGGAATCTCTAAGTTTTCCCTGTCAGGTGATCCCTGCCCTACTGTTTTCAAACATGCCCATGTCTCCCCCATCCTTTAAAAAACAAATAAACAAACCAACCCCCCCCCCATGCTGTATCTGTCCTCTCCTCAGCCAAACGCCTTGAAAAAGTTGTCTACACCTGCTTTCTTTGCTTTCTCTCCTCAACCCTTTGCAGTCTGGCTTCTGATCTCCTCACTCAGCTGAAACCACTTCCTCCAGAGTTAGCAATTATTTCTGAATCACCAGATCTGACAGTCTTTTCTCTGCCCTCTTCCTTCTTTTTTGCCCATGGTGCTGCGTTTCACTCTACAGACCATCCTCTCCCCCTGGACACTCTTTCCTCTGTGGTTTTGTGAGCCCACTCTTTCCCTAGTGTTCTCCTGCCTGTCCAACCCCTCTTTTTCAGCTAATCATCCACATCCCATCCCCTAACTGCATGTGTTCCAAGTCTCTAGCCTAAGCCCTTTTTCTCCCCCTATACTCTCAGTAAATGTATCCAGTTCCTTGGGTTTAACTATCACCTCTTTGCCAAAGACTTCCAGCTCTATATATCCAGCCTCAGTCTCTCCCCTGAGACTCCCTCTAGAGTCTTGCACCAACAATCGCCTATTAGCCATTTTAAACAGGATGTCCCTGAGTCATCATACACTCAAAATCTCCAAAACTGAACTCATTCTCTTTCCCCTTCTCTCTTCCAGAGATCCTCATTTCTTTCAAAAGCACCGTGGTCCTTCCATTCTCCCAGGATCAAGCTAGAGTCCCCACTCTTCCTTAGCCCACATACCTCACAACGCGTTGCCAAATCTTGTGGTTTCTACCTTTTTAACATTTCTCATCTTCAGCCCCTTGGTTCAGGCTCTTACAACCTGCTGTCTAGATTTTAAATTTCCTAACCAAAGTAATCTTTAAATGCAGATCTGACCATGGCATTTCTTTACTCAACCAACTCCAGTGACTTCCTACAGCCTCTAAAAGTTAAACTTCTTTTGTTATCTTTACATCCCCACAGCCTGGCATACAGTAGGTGATTAATAAATGCTTGTTGATTGCCTGACTGATCCTTTGTCTGTATCCCCTGGCATACAGACATGCTTGGCATAGTGCTTGGCACACAGTAGGTGGTTAATAAATGCTTGTTGATTGGCTGACTGATTCTTTGTCTTTAGATCCTGAGAGCCTGGCACACAGTAGGTGATTAATAAATGCTTGTTGATTCATTAACTGTTATCTTTGGATCCCCAGTGCCCAGCACAGAGTTGGCATTTGGCACATACTTGTTGATTAAAGAAGTCACACAGCTAATTAAGCATCAGCCAGTTCATGTTACTCAGCCATGCCTCATTCATCTCTTAAGTTACACCTAGACCTATATAGATATTGTCAGACCTCACTTGCCCCAGGTCCACACTTGCCACACCCCCCCCACCAAGCTCAGGTCCCCTGTTCATACCCGGGGTCCCACCATACCTTGAAGCCTTCCAGGGGCACCTGCCCCTTCTGGAAATTCTTCAGGAATTCCACATTCTCAGCCTGGGTGTGAACCTCCTTTGTGGCTTCTTTCAGGACCTCTGACAAATCCTGAGGCATGCTGGGAAAGGAAGGCCAAGGAATAACATCGTTACGGGGCTCATAAGAACACCCACATTCTTCATGTGCTTCCCTTGTGAGGTGGCCTCCAGAGGGCACCGGTCCTGCCTTCCAGGTGACCTCAACCTCACCTGGGGCTCAAGCAATTAAATCACAGACACAAGGGTCATTGGACTTCCTATTAAATATCCATTTCTAAATACAATGTCATTTCTTAAAATGCCCAAACTCCCCCAAAATGGAAGAAAATATTTTTCTCTACGTTAAAAAAAAAAAATTAGTTAGCCAAGTGAATGGAGAGCCCAAGTTAGGGTCAGGGAGGCCTGGGTTCAAGTCGATCCCAAGCAGACAAGTAGAAGACGAAGTCTAGAGAGGACCTGCAGACTACCATCTAAACTCTTCACATTCTCATGGAAAGGGTGAGGGGTGGGGGTGGGAGTGGGAATGAGGGTGGGGTTAATGACTTCAACTTCTTTTCTAGAATACATTAGAGAGAGATAGCCTTGGGACCACATGCTCCCCACTCCTGGGCTAGTAGATAAAGCTAAAGACCTGGGGTCAAGTCCTGCCCTAAGACACAGACTGGCTGTGTGACTCCAGCTAAACTGCTTTAACCTCTCAGGGCCCCAGGCAACTGTTTCCAAGAAGCCAAGTGACAGTCTTAGGTATCAGTGTAAGGGATAGAGACACACAAATATATCCATACACATACACACAGAGAGACACACATATTTAAATATATGGATTCCATGCTTTCTCATAATACAGATTGATTAAATCAAATTAACTTAAGAGAAATAAAAAGATTTAAAATTATCTATGGATGTCTCCTCTTCCCTATATCCATTCAGGCCCCACCCCTAGTCTATTAGAGACAGTGAGCAGTGAAAGGAACAGTGGAACACAGACCCAGGTTCAAATCCTGGCTGTTATTTACTTTGAGGCAATTCACTACGCTTCTCTGGGCCTCAGCCTCAGATTTTTACCTCAGTGGGTAAAATCAGGGGAAGCTGGATCAGATGGTCTCAAGGGTCCCTTTTAGCTCTAAGACCATTCAATCCTATGAAGTGTTTTCCTGCCCAGAAGATGGGACAGTACAAGGCACTCAAGAGAGGTGGAAGTATCAGTCAGAATTTGAACCTGGGGCCCAAGATATGATCTGGGTCCCAGAGGAAGTCCTGTCCCACAGGGTGGGCATCCCACAGACCAAATTCCATGCTGAGAGTGCCTGACTTCCAGTAAGGAGGAAGTGCCAGGCATCTCTCTGCCTGGTTGCCCCCATCCTAAAGTAATTCAGGAGAGACCTTCAGAACAAGGGTCACGTCTGGAGCTTCCCCCAAAAGTAGGCACCAGGACCTTTCTAGAAATCGATGGGGAAGCTTTTCCCACTACACCGCACTGCCCACACTTTCCTATACTATGGATGGGGAAACCGAGGAAGCCCAGAATGCTGAAGTCGTGTGTATGCCTAGCTCTGGATGCAGAGAATGCAAGTGAAGTGATGGAGGGATGCTTTGACGGTGCCCCCCCCCCCCATCCGCCGCATCCCTCCCTACCATGCACACCAGTTTGGTTTTCCCTCGAGAGTGACTGGGCAGGGGCTGGGCATCACTCCCCCCCTCCACCATCTGGGAAAGGGGAACGACCAAAGGAAAGTGGGGGTGGGGTGGGGGTCCAGAACAGCCCCGGACTCCAGGAATCACAGAGTTAGGGCTGCAGACGTCGTCGCATCTTCCCCATCCATAATTTATATTTGAGGAAACTGTGGCCAGTGAGAAGGAAAGTAACAGCTCAAAGGCACACTGTTCTCAGTGTGATCTTTTGACTCCAAATCTGGAGTTTGGGGTCGTTTGACCCAAAGTGGGGAAGAGGAGAGGGAACAATGGGCTCCCGGCGGGGCACAGGGGTGGAAGGGAGCTCATCGCTTCCAATGCCTCCCACCCCCGTTTTACAGATTGGTAAAATGAGGCCCGGAGAGTGAGTGACAGGGGCGGGATTCGAACCGGCTGGCAGCAGCGCGCTCTCCGCCGCGTCTCCTGCCCGGCTGAGCTCGGACCCCGGCCCGGACGGCCCCGCTTCCCTTCCTCACCTGTCGGGCTGCTCTGCCTTGACGGTTTCCATCGCGTTGTCCTCGTTCTTCTCTCGCCTCTCCCGGCTCCTGTGTGCGCTCGCCTGCGCTGCGTCAGGAGTGCCTGGCTCCGAGTGCCCAAAGCCGCCCGCTCCGCCCTCTCCAAAGCCCCGGGAGCGCAGTGCACGGAGTTTGCTCTGGCTCCTGCCCCGCCGCCAGCTTTAATACTCTGTGGGTGTGTGAAGGGGAGGGAGGGGAGGTGGGTGTCACGTGGGAAAGAGCTGCTGCCTCAGCTAAGCCCTCCCCCCCGCTGATTGCAACACCGCCTCTGGGGACCAGTGCAAACATCTGGCCTCCCTCCTCCCCCGCCCCGCCTCCCGGACCCCAGCCCCGAAGGACAATGGAGGTGGGGAGCAGGTGGAGCGGGAGGCCTAGGATATCCTCCCGGACAAAACGACCGAGCTTATCCACGGGATGTGCCCTCAAAACAAAAGAAAAGCCCCAGAACGGACGGAAACGCCAGCCGGCTTTGCTCTGGGGCATGGACAACCCGAGAAACTCCGGGCTGATGCCGGGACGCCCTCCTCCCTGCGTCCTCCCTCCGTCCTCCCTCCGTCCTCCCTCCCTCCTCCCTCCCTCCTCCCTCCCTCCTCCCTCCCTCCTCCACCGCCCCCCTCCCGTGAGCCGAGACCCCTCTAAAGCAGAGTTTACTCCGACACGAATTAGGCGCGGTCTGCTTGGCCCCTGAGGGCAGAACCGGTACCTTTCTAGGTGAAAAGGCTGGCTCCTAGTTAGAGGAGTGCCCCAACGCAGGACACTCCCCAGTACTGGAGGAAGTCTGCCAGCAGAGGCGAGATGGGGCCACTTTTCGGGGATGCTCATAGAGGGGTTTCTTGTTCAGGGAGGGGTCAGACTAGAGGCAGTGTGAATAAGTATTTATTAAGGGCTTATGAAGAAGGAAGGAAAGAAGCATTTATTAAACAACTACTGTGTGCCATAGTATTAAGGGCTTTATAATCCTTGCAACAACCACACCCATTTTACAGTTGAGGAAACTGAGGCAGACAGCGCTTAAGTGACTTGCCCAGGACACTACTAGTGCTCAGGCCAGATTTGACCCTTCTAGACACCGGGCAGGATACAAAAAAAGGGGGAAACCCTGCCCCTGCCCTCAAGGAGATTGTCTTCTGAGGAGAGAGACAATGACCAGCACTTAACATTGATTCAGATACTATGGGCACAGTGAATACAGAGTGGGGCCTGGAGTCAGGAAGACTCATTTTCCTGAGTTCAGATCCAGTCTCAGACACTAGCTGAGTGTCTAGGCAAGTCACTTCACCCTGTTGGCCTCAGTTTCCTCATCTGTCAAATGAATTGGAGAAGGAAATGGCAAACCACCCTAGTGACTTTGCTAAGAAAACCCCAAAATGGTGTCAGGAAGAGCTGTACGTGACTGACAGCAACAATCTGAAAAAGGAAACACTAGCAGCTGGGATAGACCAGGAAAGATTTTCTGCAGAAGGTGGGATTTGAGCCATCTCAAAGGAGGTGAAGATGAAGAGGGAGGGCATTCCAAGGAGAGGGGACAGCCTGTGCAAAGGCATGGAGGTGGGAGATGAGTGTCTTGTTCAGAGAATTGCAAGGAGGCTGTGACTCTAGATAGGAGAGCACATGAAAGGGGGTGGGGTCTAGTTGACAGGGAAGATTGGAAGAGCTTTAACAGACAAACGGGATCTTATAATTGATTATGGAGGGAAAAAGGAGCCGCTGGAATTGAGTTGGGGGAGGGGTGATGGGATCAGATCTTGCAAAGTACAGTGGATTTGAAGTAGTCTGAGTGCTGATTTGACTACTTTGTACCTTGGAGAGGGGATCACTGATCTGAGGAGGCTGGACCCAGCGGCCTCTAGGGTCCATCCCAAGCCCAAGCTTCCGTGATGGTTTGCATGGGGGTGTAGTTCTTAGATCCAGCCTGGGGTTTCAGTAAAGCAGCACCTAGAAATTTCAATATAAACAGGTTGTGGGCGGGGGAAGGCTGTATTTCCTGCCTAGCGTCCCGAGTGTAACTCCACCCCTGGAGCTCAGGCACATCTCTAAGCCTCAGTCATTATATCTATAAAATGGGCTGGAGACTCTGGATGCTCCTCCCCTTCATTGTTTGTACCATCAGATGAGTTTGTGGAACCTTAGGGGGTTCAGTCTTCAAAAATGTGTTCAATCCTCCCCCTGCAATAACTTTTCTAGCCAGAGGAGAGTACTTCCAGTGAAAACATCCCTTGCTCTGATTTCCTCGTTATCAACTGAAAGATCATAGATTGGGCACTGGAAGACACTTTAGGGCTCACGTCTTAACCCCTCCTTTTACAGATGAGGAAATTGAGGCCCAGGGGTTAAGTGACTTGACCAAGTTCACACAGTTAGTAAGTGGCTGAGTGAGGATTTGAATCCAGATCCATTGGCTCCAGATTCATCATTCCTTCTACCTTCAAGATGAATACAGAAGCAGTTTACCCTCTGGGGTTGTGGAGGTGGGCCAGAACAAAGAACGCAAACAGAATCCTCCATTTGGCCCAGGATAGACTTGCCTTCCTATTTGTCCCACCTGGTTGTCAGAAAGAGAAATGTCGAGTGTGATTTGCAGCTTAAAGAATAAGGAGCAAGAGAAAGCTGAGTGTGGACCACTTGATAGTGGTATCCAATAATGGTAGAGACCACGATCTGGGTAAGAAGGTTGTTACTGTTGTTGTTGTTGAGTCAGCTAGCTGTGTCAGACTCTTTCTGGCTCCGTTTGGGGTTTTCTTGGCAAAGGTACTGAAGTGGTTTGCCATTTCCTTCTCCAGCTCATTTTACAGATGAGGAAACTGAGGCCAACAGGGTAAGGTGACTTGTCCAGGGTCACACAGCTAGTAAGTATCTGAGGCCGCAGTTGAGCTCACGAGGATGAGTCCTCCTGATTCCAAGCCCAGCTCTCTAGCCACTGCACCACCACGCCAATTTTGTGACCTTGCTATTGTCTTCCCTTTCTCCAGTCATCGTCAGTAACCTGCAACAGCTTTATGTGTGACCCTCGTTCTTTCTGTTGCCCTTTGGGTCGACCACAATTTTGACTTTTCAGAGAGGGAAGAATCATAGACGTAGAGCTGGAAGGGACCTTATAGGCCAAGTCCAGTCTCTCTCAGAAGGAAACTGAGGCCAAGAGAAAGGAACTTGCCAAGATGGTCAGTGACCCAGCTGGAATTCAAACCCAGGTTCCTTGACTTGAGATCCAACAATTTTCCCAATCTACCCACTGCCATGATCCATATATGATTCATATGCTATAGATTGTCACTGGGAGAACACTGGCATTAAAAATATGGATTTTTGTAACAGAGAGTAGCCTGAGATAACTGAACACGCCATATAATTTCTTAAATGTGATCCAGACCAAAGAATACTTGTTGATTGGAAACAAAAAATAGGGTCAGAGATTTAAAAGTAGAAGGGACTTTAGTGATTATCTAGACCTGTCTCCTCATTTTATAATTGAGGAACAGGAAACTCAGAGAGCTGAAGAGACTTGCCCATGGTCACAAAGCTAGTAATTGCCAGTTGTGAGATTTGGACCTGAATTGTCAGAATCCAAATCTTAACGTTCTTTCAACTATGTACTACCACTGTGGTGCAAGCAGTAGGATTTGGGCTCTGGCCTCAAGAAGTTTACCTCTTAATTGGGAAATGAAAGCACAAAGGGCATTCTTATCTACAGGCCCAAAGAAAAGGCATGGTTGTTTTGGAAAGACTGATATGGTTAAAAGAGGTCCCAGACCCCAGGGTTTAGGACAACCCACAGGACTAGTACAGCCCAGATATCAGGAGGGCCAGGACTCTGGGGGCTTGGTAAGAGTAAGCAGAGAATGGGGGCAAGGGAGCTATGTTGGTAAGGAGCACGGGGCTCCTGCAGAGGCTGGATTCATGAATGTTTCTGGCTGCTGATTCAGATAACAACTGCCTGACTTCCCTTTCCTTCTCTGACAACAACCAAAATGTTCTGGAAGTCACCCCCTCTTCTCCTCTTTCAGACCAGCTGTCAGACTTGGGGGCATGAAGAGAGGTGAGCATGCCACATGAATGCCACACTGGGACCTAGGAAACCTGGGCAGGCTAGCCGGGTCTCTGCCAATGTTTGACCTTGGCTAAATTATTGGAATCTTGGTTACTATATAAAGAACTTTGCAAACCTTAAAGCTCTATATAAGTGTCCACCATTGTCATGGAGGACCCTACTAGTTTTGACATTTTTCTTTTTTTTTTTTTTTTTAAGGCAATTGGGGTTAAGTGACTTGCCCAGAGTCACACAGCTAGTAAGTGTCAAGTGTTTCGTCTGAGGCCTGATTTGAACTCAGGTCCTCCTGACTTCAGGGCTGGTGCTCATTTTTTTTTTCTTAAAAAATTTTTTTAAATAAAAATTCGCATTTTTACGCAACCTGTATTTCCCCATCACCTCAGATAGCTATCTCCTATTTTTAATTTTTTTTATTTTGTTAATCTATCTTGCCCAATACACCTGCATCGTTGAGCAAATTTAAACAACAACAACAAAAAATGAGCCTTCAATATATTATAGACCCATAGTATGGCAAAAGAAATTCCCATGTAGGCCCTGTCCCTAACTCTATGACATCCCCTGTTCTCAGGGCCCTCCCAGCTCTGACATTCCCCGTTCCAAGCTCTCTCCCAGCCTTGACGTTCCATGTTCTGAGGCTCCTCCCTGTTCTAAGGGCCCTCCTATCTCTGATTTTCTATGATGCTCAGCTATTATCCTCAAAGTGTGATTGTAAGGTCACCAAGTTTTGTCTTCTCCCATGTCACACTCTTCCTTCCCTCAAAAAATCTTGCTCTAATTCTGCCAGATATCCTATCATTAGAGGTACACTTTTTAAAAATTAAGTGTTGTTCTAGAATACTCTTTTAAAATGCAAATAGCCTCGGGAGGTGGGCACAATAAGTTAGCCCCAGCTATTTTGATTTAAATGAACAGATGCCATCAGATGTGCCCAGAACAGCAGAGGGAGAGCGGGCTGGAATAAGGAGGAGAGGCAGAGAAAAGGCACCGGGTCCCTTCCAGTTGTAGATATCGCCGATCTTATGACCCTACCTGGGCTACCGTAGATAAATCTCTTCAGCGCTCTGGACCTCAGTTTCCCCCTCTGT